CCTGTTTGCTCCCAGACCCATTCCCCACTTCCCCTGCTCTGCTGTGTATAGCAAACAGCTACATTGCCCAGGCTCCTTCCCCCCTCTGAATTCCTGGTAAGTTTGGCCAAAGGGAATCATTGGCATAAAATTGGAAAGCAGAAGGGGAGAAGCTAGGCTAGGTTATTTGTTTCAAGTGCCATCTCCATCAGTGACTGCATTTCTGCTGTGGCTCCCAGTAGACAGTTGTGCCTTCCATGGACCAAGCTCCAGCTGGGCCAGCCTCCCTGCTTCTGGTGGGTGGTCCCTCATCCTGGACTTGGTAACATCACCTCCTACTTTTGTCCCTCCAGCCATAGAGGTGAAGCAGCTTCCTGATATTCCCAAATCTCTGGGTTAATTCACCATCCCTCCTTGGATTCTCAGCTCAGCCATCACCTGAGTAACCAGTTCCTTGTGTTAAATCCTTTCTGTTAAAAATTCTGAGCATGGTTAGTGTTTTCTTAACTGGACGGTGACTAATATAAAACACTTGCTTCTCTTAGTTTTCAGTTTTACTCTGCTTTCCTCTAACCTTAGTAGCCATTCCTTCTCAGTTTTCTTTGCAGATTTCTCCTCATCTCTTGACCATTAAACGATAGATTGCTCCAGGGCTCAATCCTTGAACCTATTCTCTTTGCTATCTATATTTAGATCTTTGGCAAGCTCATCTTGTCTCATGGCTTTAAGTAACATCTATATATTGACAACTCCCAAATTTATCTCTCTAACTAGACCTCCCCAGTTGAGCTCCAGACTACATATTCAACTGCCTGCCTGACATCCACTTAGACAGCCAATAGGCATTTCAAACATAACATGTCCAAAACAGAGTGCTTGGTCTTCCCTCAAAAGCTGTTCCTCTCCATCTCAATAAATGGCACTTCAATTCTCTCAGTTATTCTAGTTGCATATCAAGGAGTTATCCTTCATTCCCCTCCTCCCCTCACTTCCTACATCCAATCTATCAGCTAGTCCTGATAACAAAACCTCCAAAACACATCTCAAATCCATTTATCTTCTCCAACTCTTCCTTTGCTCCCCTAGCCCAACCACTCTCACCTCACACTTGGACTACTGCAACAATCTCCTAATTGGTCTCCCTGCTTCCATTCTTGCCTCCCAACAAGCCATTCTCCATGTAGCAGCTAGAATGACTTTAAAACATAAATCATATCATGCTACTTCTCTGCCTAAAAGTCTCCAGTGAGTTCCCACTGCTTTTAAGAGCCAAAATCATTATTCAGGCCTGCAAGGCCCTACGCAGCCTAGTTTCTGCTCACTCCTCTGACCTCACCTCTTGCTACCTGCTCACACTCACTCACTACAGTCTAGTCACATTGGCCTTCTTTCTATTCCTCCAACATGCTAAGATCATTGCCTTTGGAGGCCTTTGCACTTTCTAATGCTATCACCTGGAATGCTTCCCCCTGATCTTTACATGGCTGCCTCACTCAGATCCTTCAGGTCTTATACGGCTCAAATGGTGCCTCCTCAGAGCCCATCCCTGACTACCCATCATTCTCTATCACATTGCACTATTTTAACCAATAGTCTTCTTGTTCATTTGTCTATCACTCCCGCCCTCAGAGAGTGGGCTGCTTTGTTCTCCCCTATGTCCCCAGTTCCTTGTACAATATTTGGCACCTAATGGATACTCAATATATACTAGTTGAATGACTAAAAGTAGTGGATTAGCCTTTAGCAGGAAGAGGGGCATCTCTTCGTCTGAGACTAGAAAGAGAAAAGGATGGAAGCAGATGCAACTAAGTGTGCCCCTATGTTCTTGGTGCTCTGGACAGGGAAATCATCTGCTGAGAGAGAGGGTTTACAGGGAAGGGTTTGAAGAAAATGGCTCTAAATTATTCCTGAGGATAAAAGGAGAGTTGCTGACCCAAAACATATAGTAGCGGGATCGACTGGCTATGGAGAGAATCCATGTGACATTGGAATCATAAATTCATGGTGTCAAACATCCACTCATTTACAAGACATGGGCACTCAAATATTTAGGTTAAATATCAGAGAAAGCAGATTGTAAGACTGATTCAAAATTGAGAGTTTGCAGGACAGATGTTATAAGTATTAAAAGGAGGTAAGATTTACAATAGCACCAGAAAAAATGAAGTACTTAGGTATAAATTTAAACAAAATACCTGTAGGATCTGTATATGAAAAACTACAAAACACTGATGAAAGAAATCAAAGATCTAAATAAATGAGGAAATATACCATGTTTATGGGCTGGAAGACTCAATAATATTAGGATGTCAATTCTCTCCAATGTAATCTTTATTTTTTATTTATTTATTTATTCATTTATTCATTTATTTATTTATTTATTTATTTATTTATTTATTTATTTATTTATTTATTTATTTATTTATTTTGTCTTTTTCGTGACCGGTAAGGGGATTGCAACCCTTGGTGTGGCATCGCCCGCACCACGCACAGCCAGTGAGTGCACCGGCCATCCTTATATAGGATCCGAACCTGCGGTGAGAGTGTCGCTGACGCTCCCAGCGCTGCACTCTCCCGAGTGCGCCACGGGGTCGTCCCTTCCAATGTAATCTTTAGATCTTACATAATCGCAATCAAAATCCCAGAAAGAATATTGGAGAGACCAACAAGCTGATTCTAAAATGCATATGGAAAGGCAAAAGAACTAGAACAGCCAAAAACAATTCTAAAAGAGAACAAAGTTGGAAGAATCACACTACCCAATTACAAAACTTTCTTACTGTAAAGCTACAACAATCAAATCAAGACAGTGTGGGGGCCAGCCCGGTGGCGCACTGCTACAGTGCGCCGCTTGGGAGTGCAGCAGTGCTCCCGCCGAGGGTTCGGATCCCACATACAGACCGGTTCCCGCTCACTGGCTGAGCGAGGTGCAGGCGCGACACTGAGTGTTGTGATCCCGTTGCCGGTCCCGGTCCGGTACGGGCGCGACACTGAGGGTTGCGATCCATTGCCAGACACGAAAAAAGACAAAAAGGAAAAAAAAAAAAAAAAAAAAAAAAAAGGGGGGGTTTGGGGAAAAGGAAAAGGAAAAAAAAAAAAAAAAAAAAAAAAAAGGAAATAATTTTTGAAAAAGG